TGCAGAGATGTCCCACGTTTGTTCCGTTGTGATAGCTTCTTCCCTTCCCCATCTTCCGACCCCACACCACGACCAACAAATGTCGCCCGCTAGTTCGGGCTGGCCCGACGCGCCGTGCCGTCTCACTCCTCCTGCTAACACTGCGCGTCGTCCTCGTATCCTCGTGTCCCTCCGCCTTTACATCCCCCCTCCCTTTCTCATCCGTATCCTCTTCTGTTATCTCCTGCGCGTGTTCCTCGTCTTTCTCTCTTCATGCTGCGTCGCCTCCTCTTCCTCCAACTCATCCTCCTGATCCTCGTACTCCTCCACCTCCTCCTGCCTCCCCATTATCGTCTTCCTATTCGTCCTCCGCGTTGTCGTGTTCGTCCTCGTCGTCCTCCTGCTCCTCCTGCTCCTGCTTCTCCGCCACCTCCTCCTTCATCTCCTCCTCTACCTCATTCTCCTCCTCCTCATCATCATCATCCTCATCCTCATCCTCGTCCTCATCCTCCTCCTCCTCCTCCTCCTCCTCCTCCTCCTCCTCCTCCTCCTCCTCATCCTCTCATCATCATCATCATCATCATCATCATCATCATCATCATCATCATCATCATCATCATCATCCATCACCACCATATCATCATCATCAGCATCAGTATCATCAGCAGCATCATCAGCATCAGATCATCAGCATCAGCATCAGCAGCATCAGCATCGCATCAGCATCAGCATCAGCATCAGCATCATCATCATCATCATCATCATCATCATCATCATCATCCTCGTCATCATCATCATCATCATCATCATCATCATCATCATCATCATCATCATCATCATCATCATCATCGTCATCGTCCTCGTCCCCTCGTCCTCGTCCTCGTCCTCGCTCCCCCTCCTCCCCCTCGCCTCCCCCCTCTCCTACTCCTCCTCGTCCTCATCCCGAGGTCGCCCCGAAAGTCCTTGCATCCTTCCAAAGCGCACACGGGGCGCTACATGGTTGCTTTACCCGACGACGCCTTGCGAACACCATAGACGGCCGTCGAACCCGAGCACGCGAAATGCCAAGGCGTGCGGAACCTTTTGCGTAACTCTACTCTCCCCCTCGCATACCATAAGTCCCACCTAGAGATCACACGAACGCAACCCGAACCCATACTGCGAAATATCCAACGCGACTGCGTAGTCCACCAAAACTACCGTGAAGTGCCTTAGCGTCCGTGAAAGCCCGAGAGGTCCACAAGATAACGCCCCTACGGACTGGAAGCCGTCCTGCGGCTCTGTTGGAGGCCACTTCAGCAGTGGAGGCCTTCGGCAAGGACATCGAAGCCATTGATGCACATTAGATGTTCTGTGATTTTGGCATTCCCGGCTGTTCTGCCTTCAGGGCGTCCAAGACTGCACAAGAGGCAAGAGGCCCCAAAGATCGTCCAAACGGCCCCCGAGGCCAACAAGAGGGCTCGAGAGGCCACCAACACGGGCCCAAGAGGGTCCCACACCGAACCCGAACTGAGATGTCGAGTCCTTCTGCCCATGATGACACCCCGAGAGCACCAGCAGGCCGCCAGGAGGCCCCCGCGAAATCGCCAGCATGATCACAGAGGCCCAAAATAGACCCTCAAGAGGCCAAGAGGCCCCCGAGAGATCTCCTGGCTTCCAGACCCAGGAGGCCTCCTCCCAAGATGCTCTTAACGAGTTTGACCTACTGCCAACGTCCAACTCCTCCCCCAGAGAAGAGAATCCTCAACTCAAGACAAGAAGCAGGATATGCCCAGAAAAGAGACGTACAATGCCCACTGGCTGAGCCCATCAAGCTGGTGCACGCCGCGGGGCTCAGCGACACGGCTTGGGTAACGGACGCCGAGCTCGGCACAGAACGCCCCCCCCCCGCAGATACTCACAACGCGGAGCCCACCAAGCGGCGCCTGTCCTGGAGCCCCCGGGTGGGGCCCTCCACCAAAAGAGCGGCGCCAGCCGCGCTGGCAGCGACGCATCGGAGGTGAAGCAGAGCAGCCAGCACTTTTTTGGACCGCGAGGCCGACGCCGCTCTCCCCCTGCAGCACACCTTCGCATGAGTCGTTCACTGCAGTGGCGAGGAGGGGGAAAGTCCTGCGGGCATGCAAACAGCCAAAGCCAGATGAGCGAGTCGGCTGGCGCGCCGTCGCACACCACATAGCAGAGAAAACTGGTCGCGATGCTACTTGGCCCAAAGCACAGCTGGATCGAATACGCCAGCCGCGTGGCCAATGCGCATCAGACAGGGCGGGTGCCATCGCCCGCCTGGTAGCAATACACACCTCCCCATCCACCAAAAAAGAGACCTCACAACGTACTAGCACAACACTGTCAGAACCCCTTCAAAGCCCGGCCCCCGACCCCCTCCACTCAAGCCGCCTCGGGCCAACATTTTGAAGCTGCGCCCAACAGCGGAGACCACGGTCAGAGCAAAGCCGTAGACTTCGCTACATGCCAAGGGAACAAATCTGCGATTGGCGAGATGTGGACCCCACTCTTCGTGATAGAGTAGGAGGACATTGGCATTGGCGACATGCAAGCAAAATGGATGGAGACTTTCGCCGACAGGGCCGAGCAAGGAACATTGACGGTGGGAAACCACCAAGGCAATCGGGGACGGGGTCGAAGGAAGAAATAGGCGGCAACAAAGGCAGCCACCAGAGCCGGGGACGGTCGGGGACTCTTCGGCCAGGGAGATTCCCAGCGGCGGGAGACAAGGAAACGCAGGCTCCCACTAGAGGGCGTCTGCTGGAAGGGCTATTAATTGCTCCCTGAGCTGGTTGTCTTCAACAGGCTTGCAAGACACGAATCGCTGCGTAAGAAATTACAGTGAGTACCTCGCGTGACAGATTCCGCTAAGCCATCCCCCCGAGGCCCAGAATCTGTCTGGCCCGCAAGTCTGACGCCGCCCCACACACTCCTCCACACATATCTTATCCGGACACATGCCGTGTGGATGTGAGAAAGAGTGTCCCCATGTTTGCGTCGTCGGCCTCCGCGTAGTTAGCAGGTGCGAGATCTCGGAGGTTCGACCGTGATCGTACTCGTTCGCTCCTTCCCCTTTCCTCGCTTCCTCCTCTTCCCATTCTTCCCTGGCGCCTTGTCGTTGCAGGCGACTCCCTCCCCAGCACCGGGGCCCTCGAAAACGGCAGGAGAATATTCGGAGCTTGTTGAATTGCCCGAAAAAGGAGCACACGATGGGATGGGGGCGACGCGAGGAGGCGAGAGGGGGTGGAGGGAGGACCCGGGACGGATCTAGGAGGAGACCGGGAAGCTGCTGACGGCGGGAGGTGGGCCAGCGAACGCAACGACGGGGGAGGGCGCGGGGGCCGAGAGAGGGTCGATCCGAGGGGCCAGATAAGAAAGCAGAGGTCGACGAGCAGGAACGGGCAACGGCCGACAGAGAGCAGGGACAACCCGAAGAGGGGAGGGGGCCCAAGGAAAGACAGTGAAGGGAAAAAAAGGCAGCATGCCGGCCATGGAGGATGGGCATCATCATCATCATCATCATCATCATCATCATCATCATCATCATCATCATCATCATCATCATCATCATCATCATCATCATCATCATCATCATCATAAGCATCACCACCACCGTATCATCATCAGCATCATGATCAGCATCAGTATCATCAGCAGCAGCAGCATCATCAGCATCAGCATCAGCATCAGCATCAGCATCAGCATCAGCAGCATCAGCATCAGCATCAGCATCAGCATCAGCATCAGCAGCATCAGCATCATCATCATCATCATCATCATCATCATCATCATCATCATCATCATCATCATCATCATCATCATCATCATCATCATCATCATCATCATCATCATCATCATCATCATCATCATCGTCATCGTCCTCGTCCCCTCGTCCTCGTCCTCGTCCTCGCTCCCCCTCCTCCCCCTCGCCTCCCCCCTCTCCTACTCCTCCTCGTCCTCATCCCGAGGTCGCCCCGAAAGTCCTTGCATCCTTCCAAAGCGCACACGGGGCGCTACATGGTTGCTTTACCCGACGACGCCTTGCGAACACCATAGACGGCCGTCGAACCCGAGCACGCGAAATGCCAAGGCGTGCGGAACCTTTTGCGTAACTCTACTCTCCCCCTCGCATACCATAAGTCCCACCTAGAGATCACACGAACGCAACCCGAACCCATACTGCGAAATATCCAACGCGACTGCGTAGTCCACCAAAACTACCGTGAAGTGCCTTAGCGTCCGTGAAAGCCCGAGAGGTCCACAAGATAACGCCCCTACGGACTGGAAGCCGTCCTGCGGCTCTGTTGGAGGCCACTTCAGCAGTGGAGGCCTTCGGCAAGGACATCGAAGCCATTGATGCACATTAGATGTTCTGTGATTTTGGCATTCCCGGCTGTTCTGCCTTCAGGGCGTCCAAGACTGCACAAGAGGCAAGAGGCCCCAAAGATCGTCCAAACGGCCCCCGAGGCCAACAAGAGGGCTCGAGAGGCCACCAACACGGGCCCAAGAGGGTCCCACACCGAACCCGAACTGAGATGTCGAGTCCTTCTGCCCATGATGACACCCCGAGAGCACCAGCAGGCCGCCAGGAGGCCCCCGCGAAATCGCCAGCATGATCACAGAGGCCCAAAATAGACCCTCAAGAGGCCAAGAGGCCCCCGAGAGATCTCCTGGCTTCCAGACCCAGGAGGCCTCCTCCCAAGATGCTCTTAACGAGTTTGACCTACTGCCAACGTCCAACTCCTCCCCCAGAGAAGAGAATCCTCAACTCAAGACAAGAAGAAGGATATGCCCAGAAAAGAGACGTACAATGCCCACTGGCTGAGCCCATCAAGCTGGTGCACGCCGCGGGGCTCAGCGACACGGCTTGGGTAACGGACGCCGAGCTCGGCACAGAACGCCCCCCCCCGCAGATACTCACAACGCGGAGCCCACCAAGCGGCGCCTGTCCTGGAGCCCCCGGGTGGGGCCCTCCACCAAAAGAGCGGCGCCAGCCGCGCTGGCAGCGACGCATCGGAGGTGAAGCAGAGCAGCCAGCACTTTTTTGGACCGCGAGGCCGACGCCGCTCTCCCCCTGCAGCACACCTTCGCATGAGTCGTTCACTGCAGTGGCGAGGAGGGGGAAAGTCCTGCGGGCATGCAAACAGCCAAAGCCAGATGAGCGAGTCGGCTGGCGCGCCGTCGCACACCACATAGCAGAGAAAACTGGTCGCGATGCTACTTGGCCCAAAGCACAGCTGGATCGAATACGCCAGCCGCGTGGCCAATGCGCATCAGACAGGGCGGGTGCCATCGCCCGCCTGGTAGCAATACACACCTCCCCATCCACCAAAAAAGAGACCTCACAACGTACTAGCACAACACTGTCAGAACCCCTTCAAAGCCCGGCCCCCGACCCCCTCCACTCAAGCCGCCTCGGGCCAACATTTTGAAGCCGCGCCCAACAGCGGAGACCACGGTCAGAGCAAAGCCGTAGACTTCGCTACATGCCAAGGGAACAAATCTGCGATTGGCGAGATGTGGACCCCACTCTTCGTGATAGAGTAGGAGGACATTGGCATTGGCGACATGCAAGCAAAATGGATGGAGACTTTCGCCGACAGGGCCGAGCAAGGAACATTGACGGTGGGAAACCACCAAGGCAATCGGGGACGGGGTCGAAGGAAGAAATAGGCGGCAACAAAGGCAGCCACCAGAGCCGGGGACGGTCGGGGACTCTTCGGCCAGGGAGATTCCCAGCGGCGGGAGACAAGGAAACGCAGGCTCCCACTAGAGGGCGTCTGCTGGAAGGGCTATTAATTGCTCCCTGAGCTGGTTGTCTCCAACAGGCTTGCAAGACACGAATCGCTGCGTAAGAAATTACAGTGAGTACCTCGCGTGACAGATTCCGCTAAGCCATCCCCCCGAGGCCCAGAATCTGTCTGGCCCGCAAGTCTGACGCCGCCCCACACACTCCTCCACACATATCTTATCCGGACACATGCCGTGTGGATGTGAGAAAGAGTGTCCCCATGTTTGCGTCGTCGGCCTCCGCGTAGTTAGCAGGTGCGAGATCTCGGAGGTTCGACCGTGATCGTACTCGTTCGTTCCTTCCCCTTTCCTCGCTCCCTCCTCTTCCCATTCTTCCCTGGCGCCTTGTCGTTGCAGGCGACTCCCTCCCCAGCACCGGGGCCCTCGAAAACGGCAGGAGAATATTCGGAGCTTGTTGAATTGCCCGAAAAAGGAGCACACGATGGGATGGGGGCGACGCGAGGAGGCGAGAGGGGGTGGAGGGAGGACCCGGGACGGATCTAGGAGGAGACCGGGAAGCTGCTGACGGCGGGAGGTGGGCCAGCGAACGCAACGACGGGGGAGGGCGCGGGGGCCGAGAGAGGGTCGATCCGAGGGGCCAGATAAGAAAGCAGAGGTCGACGAGCAGGAACGGGCAACGGCCGACAGAGAGCAGGGACAACCCGAAGAGGGGAGGGGGCCCAAGGAAAGACAGTGAAGGGAAAAAAAGGCAGCATGCCGGCCATGGAGGATGGGCAGAGGAAAGGCCACGAGAGCGGGGACGGGAAGGAAGAGCGGCGTGAAGTCAGAAGCGAAGGGAGTCTGCAAGCGGCGGCGGGGAGGATCGACAAGGGGGGCAGCGGGAGATCAAACACGACACGGCGACGGCATTTCTGGAGACGACGGAGTTGGAGTCGAGAGAAGGGGTGGCCGCCAGCCCCCAAGTTCTTCTACAGCTTCGTGAGGGTGGCGCAAAGGGAGACAGGACGGGGGCGGCGGCGGGCGCGCTGTCAGCGTTGCGCATACCCGCACCCGCACACCAGGGCGCCTTACCTCCCAAATGGCCAGGCCGCAGTCGGCAGGTCGCGGTTGAGGACGGGAGATGACGCGGGGGGGGAGGAGGGGTAGAAGCCGTCGCAATAGCTTCGCCACGCAAGATGGGTGGGAGTCGCCCGCTAGCATGGCCCACTTGGAGCGGGGGTGGAGGTATGTGCCCATTGGAAGACGCAGGGCAAGTTGCCACTCGCACGAGCCAGGTGGCCTTCTGGGCAGCGGGACGGAGTTGTCAGACGCCTCCGCGCGAGAGGTAGGTGCGCGCGGAAGGCCTCCCGCCTGCATCGTCGGTCAGCGGCTGGCCTGGCGGTGCTCGAGCTGTCGAGTTAAGGTGTTCGGGTCGGAAATAGCATGGCCGCTCTAGTCGAAGTGAGTCTGGATCGAACGGTCCTGGTTGGGCGGGCGGCACTGGGGATTTTGCCTGTGACTCGCGTGACGCAGTCTGGCGTCGGTGCCCGGTGGGCCGGTGGGGGTGCGTGTCGACGATGTCGCCCTCAGCGCGTTGACGGCCAACGTCTGGGCGAGCTAATGCGCTCGCGCGTCGTCATCTGGGCCTCCTCTAGCTCGATGAGCGAGGCTCGGCACTGCGTGGAGTCGCCAGAATATGGGGCCTGAGTGGCCAAGGTCGCTGCGAGCTATGTACCGGCGTCGAGGGCGCTGCAGCGGTGGACTCCGCCGTGGATGACATCGATTTGACGTCGAAGATGTGAAGGGCGAGGCCTGCCCGAGGGGCCGCGCCGCTGCGCGGTGGCGCAGTCTCGCATGCACCGCCGAAGTCGGGCGCTCTCCCGCGAAGGCGTCGCGCGCTGAGCAAGTCCTGAGACCCGCGTCGAGGGTGGCAAAGTCATCGGTGACGCGCAAGCGGCGAACGCTCAATAACCTCGTTAGATGGCGGTGGCCGTGCGGGCGAGAGCAAGTCGGGGACCGAGCGGTTCGTCAGCGGCGGAGCGGCCTGCTTGGAGATGGGGCCCTGCAACCCTTCGCGGGCCTGGCCCCGAACGTCTGGCCGGTTGATGGATGCTTTTGTGCTCCGAACCCCCGAAGCATGCGGTCGACGGGGCCTTCCCCCGCGTCGCGGGGCGCTCGATCTCCCGGTCGCTGAGGTCGGGTCGGGCAGGGCCATCGCAGAGATGAAAGCGCCGGCCCCTGGGACAGCTTGCCGAGGAGGTCCCGGGCATCTGCGACAAGGTTGCTCCCGTCGGCGAGTTGCAATGCAGGTGCATGGCCCTGCCCCCTGGCGGCTTTGGCCGCGGCATGCCGCAAATAGATCACACTTGTGTCGACCGTTGCGTGCCAGCACGCGGGAGTGGGGGTACTCCTGCGCGCGCCTCTCGTGCCTGGTGGGTTGTGGTCCTTCGCCCGCGTTGCAGCTGGCGCAGCTGCTCACGTCGTCAACGTGATCGCGGGATAAGGCGCGAAGCTATCTCATGCTGCTCAGATCAGGAGCAGCTCGACCAAGCCACGCGGGTCTTGGCGACCGCGGCCCACAATGATTTCTCACGCGCCCTAGCTCCTACAAGTAACGAATTGCTCTCGTTCTGGCTGCTGGTCGATCTCATCAACCCTCGAGCGCATTCGAAGTGCATCGACTTTCGTGTTCCGCAGAAGGTGCTCATTCGTCGCTTCCCAAAGCCCCACCTGGACAGACTCGACAGCTTCTGCGGCGCCGAGCCAACACGGATGCAGAAGGAGTCCGGGCGGCGACCCAGCTTCCCAATTGACAAGATGGCAGCGCATTCCTCGGGCAGCAAATCGTGGAAGTTTTTTTGGCGCGGAATACCATCGAAGCCCACTCCGTAGCCTCTTGCGCGCACCTCTCCTGCAGCTATAGCATGGGGTAGTCTGCTGCCAGTCGGAACTTGGACTCAACAATATTGCCAGCGCCTGCGCGCCGCGTGCGGGCATGGAACATTTGCAGGGTCGACGCGACGTGCCGCTGCGGCCGCGCATGCACTCGCCCCCGACATGCTGCGCAAGGGCGCCGCGAGGACCTTCGTTTCGCGCGTTTCGGCCAGGTTCGACCCCCGCCCCCTGAGTCACCCGGGGGGTCTCCACGTCGACATCTCACCAACTGTTTGCGAAGACAGCATCGCGACGGTTGAACCAGAAATCCCCAAACCATACTTGCAAAACCACATGAAACTCAGCCTCGGGACTGCGATCGGTCGCGCCTGCCAATCGCGAATCTCATCGCACAGCCAGCCCTGACGGGGCCCGCCCAAGGGGTGCCCCGATGGCAAGGGCGCGCCATGGCACGGCAGAGCGAGGTCCGCGACCATCCTGGAAAAGCCTCCTTCACCCGCCCTGGCGGTCACTGGAGGTCACGCTGGGACAGTTGTCTGCCGGGCGGAGGGATGGCCGCTCGAGGAGAGCGTCGGACTCTAGACCCAGCCTGCTTGGGCAAGACGCATTACGTTCCAGGCCCACGAAACCCCAGGCCACCACTCTGCGGTTCAACTCGCATCTACCCACAGCTGCTAGAAAATGCGGCTAGGCACGGGCGATCGCCCCACGGTCCCGCCACGCGCGCCAGATTGTTGCCGTCAATGGCGCATTATTTCGCGATGGTGGCCTTCCCTTCTGGCATGTGCCAGAGAGGGCTCAGTCTCGTAGACGACCAAAACCTCGCCCTCTTCCGAGCGGCACAACTTCGCCCGCGCGCCCGCCCCCGCCGTCCGTGAACCGAGCGCCCCGAGGAAAACCCCTGAATGCAGCGGCCAGCTTGCACGGCGAGCTCAGCGTCTTCTGGCCGCGCTCTTCGCGGAGTCCAATGGCGCGGGCGCCGCGCTCGCCGCGCGCCTGCATCCCGATTCTGCGAACCGCGCGGAGGCCACGAATCCGCTCCGGCATCGCGCAGGAAAGCGCCGCCGGTCGCCAAGTTCCGCGCGCCCGCCAGAAGCCCGCGAGAGCCTCCGGGATACTCCCGAAGACAGCCAGCGCTCGACTGACGCCACCGACGCAGAAGAGCGAGTCGATCCACGTGCCATTGGGGCACGCACCCACACCATCCGCCGCGACCTCAACGCTTGACCTGGCCCAGGGCAGCCGGCGGCATCTGGGCAAACCACCGCGCGCATCGCTCCACCGCCGCCCAACGACCACCCTGCGCTTTCGCAAGCCCGCCACGCTGTGCCGAAACGCGCCGCAGCGCTCCTGACATGTTCGAAGAAGCGTTGCCTCGTCTGGTCCACTCGCATCACCTCGGCCTCAAGTACGGCCATGCTCAAATGCGCCATCCAATTGTTGCGGCCTTCTAGCAGTCGCAGCCGACGGACACCATGGGCGAGATAACGCGCGAGTGTCGGGCGCCTTTGTCGACAGATTGGGCACCTCATGCACCTCGCGGGTCAACTTCTTCACGCCCGCGCCGACAGAACGCAGGGAAACCACGCCCCCGCAAGCCAGGCGCTCGAAAACCAGGGCCAGCTTCAAAGACCATGGACTCGCGCTCTGAAATTGCCGCCATTCGGTTATCATGAGTGCGCCGTTCCAATTGACGCGGAATCGCAGCAGGGCCGCCCATCCCGCCAGCTCGCGGCGGCTCTGGATGTCGCTCGGCGCGTCAGCACAATTATCTGATCGGGCTGCTCTCCGCCCTTCTTTCGCCTACCTTCTCAAATCGCACGGCGACGGCCCACCTGCGCGGTGTCGCGGCACTCTGTTTAGCCAGGCGGTCATGTGGCGAGGCAGGTACACCAAGCTCCAATCATTGGAGCTTGGTGCACCGCTTGCCTTGGAAGCCGTTCGCCATATGGTAGGCGCGGGCCGCGGACATTGAGCAAAGCCTGCCGAGGTACCACGCGACCTCTGGCACGTTCGCCACGGCTGAATTCGCGAGGCAGCACGTCGAACGCGCCAGCAAAGTGCCCCGTGCCGTGCCACTAAAGTACTACGTAGGCCCAATATCCTGGGCCATCGAACACAGACCAGCCCTGACTTGCGCCGTGACGACTTCATGACAAAGCGAGATGTACCCCGAGAGGCTCGCTCTGAAACTGCCCTGGACATCCTGGCGCATGCGGACGCGTTAGGCTTAAGAGGCCGCCACAATGCGCCACGCGGCGGCGATAGTGCCAGAGACGGCCCACCTGCCTCGGACGGGTGATACCGCGTCCAACGGCAAGGACGTTGGCCCCTCCAGACACCACGCCGCGCCGCCCGCCATCGCCCAGTCACCCCGTCACCAAGATCTCGTCGAACGAAATCTTGCCACGGGTTATCGATCTCACCGTCGTCCGGAAGATTCAAGGTAGGCGAACACCGCACACGGAATGCAAACGCCTTTCCATTGGGCAGGGTTCGGCCGAAGCCGCCCTTTCGCTTCTCCTTTGACATGGCGACACGAATATGCTTCCTAGTCGGGATAATGGCCACCGCATCATCATCGCCGATCGGATTACAAGCCTCTCCTGGCGGCCTGGCCCATGTTCAGTCTGGAAGCTGGTCCGTTCACTCTGCATGCACACCATGATCCGACTAGACTTTGGGATGCGTCGTCTTCAGCGCGGATGGAAAGTTCTCAATGGTCCAGATCCGCCAGCTCGCCGCGAGTGCCACCGTCTGGCGACTTGATCCAAAATGGGCCCCGTGGTCAGAAGACAAGTCGTCCTTCAGCGAGATCGTCTGGGCGCGAGCAAGGTCACGCTCGTCGATTCGCTCGATCCTGATCCTGGACGCCGACCGAAGTTGAACCTGACGCTGTCGGCTGTCTCGGGAATCGAGCACCTTGACGATCCGCTCCTCGCCACCTTCCAGGGTCATATCGGCGACCTCGATAGAGCCACAAATTTTTGGTAAAATCCTCTTCGCCCTCCGCATCTCAACCCTCTTATGAACCCACATGTGTTCCACAATTGGTCGTCCGGTATATTCTTTCTTTTCTCTCAGCGAAACCAAGGCCCGCACTGGAGGAGAGGATGCATTCACTTTCGTGGCACTTTCGGGTCTGGTACATGTCAGTGATGAACATGTTCTCCATGCTGCAGGAATCGAATAACAGAGAAAGAGCAGCAGGGGAGAAAGAAGAGGAGCAAAAGGCAAGTGGCCAGGACTGGCAGGAGGAGACGAAGGGACGCGGGAAGGAAGGAGAGGGATTGAGGAAGGGATGATGAGGGTACGACGAATGAAGCATAACGCAATCCACAAGGAGACGTGGAAGGTGAAAGAGATGAAGGAGGAGCAGCAGACGAGCAAGCAGGAGGAAATGCGAAAGCAAGAGACAAAGCAAGAGCACGAGAATGCACAAGGTCAAGATCGGTAGCAAGAGCAAATAGAAAACGCAACAGCGACGGCAAGCTCAGGAGCAGTAGCAGAAAACCATGCAAGAGCAACGACACTAGCGGAAGCAAAAGCAAACATGACAATAGCTGCAGAAAAACAATACCACGAGCAACGACTACAGCGCTTGTCATCGGGCGGAGATGCGCGTGAGCGATCCAATTCAGGTTGCAATGCCTCACGGGCAGCTGCACCACTCTGCGCGGCCTGTCGGTACGGCATCACTTCACTGTTCCTTGTCAGCCCCAACCCCATGGCATCTCAATATCATTCACCTCCACGTCCTCCTGATTCTCACCACCTCCCTCTCCTCCTCCACCCCATCGCTGCTGCGCCGATCTTCCTCCTCGTCAGAATTCTCTCTTCCTCCGTCTCCTCGTCTTTTACATCACCACCCGATTTTCTCCCCATCATGAGAACCACCACCATCAACAGCATCCTCATCCTCATCCTCAGATTCACCATCATCAGAATCATAGCTGTCATCATGGTCATCCTCGTCCTCCTCGTCACTTTCAGACCCCCGCATGTCACCATTACCCCGTCTCATATCCTCATTATCATCGTCATCCCCCGATCCTCCTATGTCCAATCCGCCCCTAATCTTTCTCCCTCGCATCCCCTTCCTTATCCTCCACCATCTCCTCCTCCTCCTCCTCCTCCTCCTCCTCCTCCTCCTCCTCCTCCTCCTCCCCCTCCTCCTCCTCCTCCTCCTCCTCCGTCTCCTCCTCCGCCTTCTCCTCCTCCTTCTCCTCCTTCTCCTCCTCCTCCGATTCCCCCTCCCCCTGATCCTTACTATCCGCGTTGCCCTCCATATCTCTCTCACCTCCTCTTCGCCCAATCGCCTCCTTCTCCTCCTCCTCCTCCTCTTCATACTCATCTTAATCGCCCTCATCAGCATCATCCTCCTCCTCATCATCATCATCATCATCATCATCATCATCATCATCATCATCATCATCATCATCATCATCAGCATCACCATCATCATCGTCGTCAGCAGCAGCATCATCAGCATCACCGTCATCATCATCAGCATCACCAACATCATTAATATCATCAGCATCATAATCAACATCATCACCATCATCACCATCATCACCATCAGTATCAGCATCAGCAGCATCATCATCCTTGTTCCTGCTTGTTGTCATTATCGAGATCATCTTCCCAGTCATCCCTTTTCTCTTCCAGGCGACTCTGCATTCCATGCTCATGATAAGGCTCTTTCATATGAGAGGCGTCGGGGGTACACCATCGAACAAAAACGAAGGTTTCGAGGTGGGACAGGGCCTTCAGTGACGAGTTTTCCGGGAGGGACCTGATGGGGGAGAAAAACTGTTTGGAACCTTTTGACATGCCAGAGAGGCTGGGCTACACCCAACGACGAGAGGAACCCCTGAGATTGGGCACCGAAGCCGTGCTGGTCTGCCACGGTGCTATGGTCTGCCGTGCTGGTCTTCCGTCTAATCTGCCGTGCTGGTGGTCTGCCGTACTAGAATGCCATTATCCTGTGGTCTGCCGTGCTGGTCTGCCCCGCCGCTGTGGTCTCCCGCGCTGGTATGCCGTGCTGCTGGGGAATGCTGTGTTGCGCGCCGTGCTGGTGCGGTCTGCTGTGCTGCCATGCTGTTTTTCCGTGCTGGTCTGCCGTGCTCAAATGGTTTGCTGTGCTGGTCGTGCTGGTCGCCGTGCTGCTGTGGTCTGCCGTGCTGTAAAGTTTCGCGAGGGGGCGCAATCCACCGTCGCTGGCCCGAGTCAATTCTTCCGACGGGTGTCAGAAACCAGAGGGCCCACCTAAACAAAAATCTGAAGACAGGGCAGAAACCGTGGACAACCCACAGCCCCCCTAAACTCCCCCTTCCTCCCCCCCACCTTGGGAAGAACCTACAGGGTCCGGACCCTGCCCCCTGCCCCCCCCCCCGGAACAATTAGGGACTCTAGGACCTTCTCCCCAGAAAATTAGCTGGGGGATCCAGATCCCCCACCCCCCTGGAGGCGGCGGCGGCGGCGGGACGACGACGACGACGCCTACGATGACGTCGATGGCGGCGATTACATCAACGGCGGCGGCGGCGGCGCACCTGTCGCTGGCACCCGCGACAGGCGCAAACTCTAATAGAATGCTACTAAGGTTCGCTCCAGCTCTCTCGGAATCCTACTGAAGCCCTACTCTTCTCGACGCTACTCTACTCTACACTGCTCTACTCTACTCTACTCCTCTACACTACTCCACCCTACTCTACCATACTCGACTCGACCCTGCTCTGCTCTACTCTACCCTGCCGCACCCGAACACACTCTACTCTACTCTACCTCGTTCCTACTTTGCCCTGCTCTACTTTACTCTACGCTACTCTAGTGTACCCTATTTTACTCAACTCTACTCAACTGTGCTCTGCTCGATTTCTGCCTACTCTCTTCATCTCGTGTCCTCTACTCCGCCCTGCACTAATCTGATATGATCGACATATCCCCCCTCTGCTCTACCCTTGTCTACTTGGCCCTACGGTACCCCACCTTCCTCTACTCGCCGCTACTCAACCCTACTCAACCCTTGTTCGATTTCTATCATACCCTATTCTACGCTTGTTATACGCTGATCGTCGTCGTCTTCGTCGTATTCGTAATCGTCGTCGTTGTCGTCGTCGTCGTCGGCGGCGGCGTCGGCGTCGGCGGCGTCGGCGTCGGCGTCGGCGGCGTCGGCGTGATCGTCGTACTTGTGGTCGTCGTGCGTCGTGCGTCGTGCGATATCGTCCTTGCCGTCGGCGTCGTCCTCGTCATCGTCGTCGTCCGCGTCACTTGGTAACGGCGGCGACGTGCGTCGTTTGCTGGCGGCAGCGGCAGCAGCGTCGCCATCGTCGTCGTCTTCCGCGTCGCCAGCGCCGCTTGCCGGCGACGGCGACGCGCGTCTTTTGCAGGCGGCGGCGACGTCGTCGTCGTCGCCGCCGCTGGGGGGAGGGCGGGCGGAGGGCGGGAGGGCGGGGAGGGACGGGGTGATGGCCGTAGCCAGTTTGACTCAAGCCGTGCGACAGGCTTGAGAGTTGTTCGGCGTGTGCTTGTCACTTGCGGGGCAGCCTTCTGTTAGGCCCCCAGGTGGCGTTGATTTTGTGAGCTCCTGCTGGAGCACAGCTGTCACGCACCCAGTGTTCATTCCAGTGCAATGTCGCATGGAGCAGTGTCCAAAGATGTCCTTCTTGGGGCGAAGAGGCCGTTCTGGAGTTGCACTAAGTGCCATCGGAAGGGGAACTGGGCGGCTCAGATCATGCGCGCATGCGGCTGCCCAGCGCCCGCTGAGGTGGCAAAGGCAGCAAAAACAGTCCCATGAGAAGGAAGTTGCAGGCGGCGCGAAAGCACCGAAGGCCAAAAGGGCAGCGGGCGGAAGGTGCGCCACTGCTGCAGGAGACCTCGGGCACCATCCTCAAGCGGCTCGACGTGATGAAGAAAGGCGGCATCAAAGCAGACACTGGTATTCAACCTCCGTGGCGTTCTGATGTTGAGAATGGCAGGGAGACGAAGGAGATCAAAGGAAGGCTGGCACACTGGCAGACAGCAGCTCGGATTTCTGCGCACGAGGAGGACCGGGCACTTGCTGCAGCCCAACTCTAACGTCTGCAAAAAGCTCTCGAGGAAGCAAAACTTCTGCATGTTCAGCAGATGTCCATCAACACCCGCCTGGCCAAGGCGAAAGAGACGGCGGCCACGGCCACGACCAACTTGGAGGAGACAAGGCAGAAGATCGAGAAAGCGATGGCCGCCTTGGACAAGAAGCTGGGCGATGCACAGGCGGCAGTGGAAGAGGCCAAGAGGCAGTGCGACACCCTGGAGCAGGAAGCCAGTGAAGCCTTTGTCAAGGGGATTGCTTCTGATGGCGAGCAGATCCTGAAGATGGGCGAGCCACAGCTTGCGTCGGCGAGCCAGAAGTTCAAATGCTGGTTCTGAAATATGCGAGCAGACCAGAAAGGAGCGCAGCACCTCGACACGCTCCGAAGTTTGCTGGGGGGCCAAGCTGTCACCATCAAAGAGGCGCAAGCGCCAAGCTGGTCATGGGTGGCCGATGGCGAAGGTGCCCCTGCTGGCGACGATGCCGACGAAATGGAGCTGGATGATGACTCCGAAAAGAACCTTGCAGAAACTGGACAGGCGCTTCTTGAAGCCAGACGTGCCGCTGAGGGATATGCCAACCACGATTCAAGCAGCGAAGCGTGATGGATGTCGAATAGCCTGAGTTGGGTTGTGTAAGTCCCGGGGGGGGGGGGGGGTCTGCATCTTTCCCGCGAGCAAGGGGGCCCTGCTGTCCGCGCGAGGCAGTTTGAAGGCATATGTCAAATCAACTTGCGCGGCGAGCTTGCCTCGGCAAGAAATCTGCCGCGACGCCAGGAGCTGCTCTGACGGCACTTCCTGCGTCGCAGTGCACTGGCCCCCTCGGCGAGGCAATGAGAAGTTTTGCAGTGGGCACTGATAGATAGGATGGGGATTCTGCGCCGCGCTCACGCAGGAAAGATGCAGATCCGGGGCGGGGTCAGCGAAGTCAAAATAATGAACATTCGGCTGGCGAAGGAGAGCAGGCAAGGGTTCTGCGGGAGAGCCAATGGGAAATATGCAGATCCTGCAAAGGGCTCAGAGAGAACACATAACAACACGATGCAAGGCCCTGGAGACCAAGACTAATATGCTTTAAGGAAACGAGAATGCACGCACCAGCGCCCAGAGACGGGGCGCGGGAGAGGCGGGGTGCGAGCGGCGGCCCCCGGGCCCGTTGCCCTGCGCATGCGAAGTGAGCTCGCTGGCCGCCGCGCTGGCCCTGGGCCGCATGCGCAATGGATAAGGGGCCCGGCGGGCCGCCGCGCGCGCTGCGGCACTGGCCGAGGCCGCGCGGGGGAGAGAACCAATGCGCGGGGGGGCGGGGCGCCGCGCGCGCGACGGCCTCGGCCGATTCGGCGCGTCGAAATAAATGCGCGACGTGCCAGGGCAGCCGCGGGCTCGGAAGCCTCCGCCCACCGCGCGCGGGGAATCGCACATTTGCGCGGAGTGTGTGTGGGGGGGGGGGGGGGCTGCCCAATTCTGCGCGACAAGAAACAGCGCGCGGCGGGCCGGGAACGCCGCGCGCGGGGCGGCTCAAGCGAATCGCGGAGGGAACGACGCCGCGCGCGAGGGGCCTGGGCCGCAGCCATGGCGGCCCTTGCCCATGCGAACAGGATGCGGCAACG